TCATCCTCTCTGGGGACCCTTGTCCAGGCCTAGGGCATGCCCAGGAGTGGTCAAGGGAACAGGAGGTCAAGGTCACACGCATGGCCACCTATATGAGGTGACATCAGGGCTATTCTCAGACAACAATGGAAAAATAAATACGGTACCTAGGAGTCTGCCTGTACCAGTTGGGAGTTCTTGAAGGACCAATGTTAAAAATTCCTCATAAAAAGATGATAGTTGGCCAAATGTTATGTTAAAATCAACTTTTCAAAGCAAGTATGGTTTCTACATTAAGTAAAAAAGCTCATCTTCTTGGGGAGCTTTAAAACGCCCTTACTATTTTAGAGTAGCTACAGCTTTGGCTGCGGGGAAGGCAGAGTGTGGGATTTTCCTGACCCCATTCAGACATGTTTGGGATTTCTTTGGAAATCATGCCAACTTCCTTTCAAAAAACTGGAAATAATTCTTGTTCGTGAAGTTTGTTTCTCGTATATTCTTACTGCTCTGGCTTCTTCTCTATGTTGAGTTTAACATCCTGCTGAGATTTTCTCAAAAGCATTCAAGAACATTTCAGTGATTTTCTTTTTTTGATTCAGACCAGGCTAGATTTTATTATCAACTGAAGGTCAGCCAATTTTAGGCATAGATACCCCTCTCGGAAACATCATTAGAATAAACTAGTCTGTGTTTTGGAAAGAGATTTTATCTTCTGCTGATTCACAGATTTGACCTCAATAAAACTACCTACCCTACGTATAAGTTTGCTTACTAGTCATAAATTGACCTGGTCTATAAAACTTCTTACGAAAGAGAAAAAGAAGGAAGCAAGATACAAAACGTTGGGCAATCAATTCATCTTTTTTTCTTTTTTTTAAGTTTCTTTTTCTGCAGTCTGCTTTGAGTATCTCCCAAAGGATCTTAATGATGGAATCCATCAACCAGCCTTCAACCATTCACATCAGACACACGCCTGGAGTACTCAGGGAAGTCTCCGGGCCTGAACCAGGAACCTTCCCACACGTGATCACCTTACATCGCATCCTTTTTTCACTGCTGTGTCACCCATGAGTCCCTGTCAGGCAGCTATGCCAGTGAGAAAGAAGGAAAACTGACCTCTGCAAAGGTCTCGACAGTGTCGACATGAATTCCTACCTGAAGAGCTAGGTGCTAGGCCAGCAGGTAGTGTGGAGGTTAAGGCAGCCAGACCCCACCCGGCCAACCGTGCAGCTGAAGTCCCGAACTCTGAGGCTTGAAAATCATGCCGTGTGTGTGCATGTGTGCCCAAAAAGCCCAAAATGAGATGTGGATATCTCTCCTGGGGGGTGTTTCTCACTTTCTCTCTCTCTCTGTCTCTCTGTTTCTCTCTAGCAAGTACATGCACCCTATAGCAAACAAACAAAAAGAGCTTTGTGCTAAGCCAGACTCTTCAATCTAATAAAATATTATATCCATTCCATGAATAATGTTTGTATATAGTGTCAACAGTCTATGCTGTATGATGTGGAATATTTCAGATGGACTCTTTGAACTGAAAAGAAGTTCTTTCTTTTTTTCTTTTTTTGGAGAGGTTTTTGCTATAGGGCGTGTGTGCTCGCCAGACAGACAGACAGAGAGATAGAAAGTGAGAAATCACCCCCTCAGGAGGATGGCCACACTGCAATCCCTTCTCCTCCATTCTCCTCTTGGGATCTTGGGCATGCACACACTCACGCCTGGCATGAGTTTAAGCCACTGGGTCCAGGACTCGAACCACAGTCGACTATGTGGGAGTCCAGTGACATAGCCATTATGCTAACTGCTGATCCCAAACTGAAAAGAAGTTCTATACTTTGGTTCCTTCTTACTAGCATATTTAATTGTTATTTTGTCTTATAAACACTGTTTAAAATTTTCAACATGGCTAAACTTGCAAAAGCGCTTAGTCATGTGTAATAGGTACCATGACCTGCCCAATGAGATGATAGGGGTCATTAAACTTATGGATGGAAATTAGCCAGTATTTTAATGGGTTAGGTAGATTAGCAGAAGGTGGGGGGGGGGGATGACATAAACGAAGTAAGTAGAAGATAGCAGAATTTTCTACAAAGGACAAGAACCGGGTTTTGTGCAAGAGGAGTATAAGCTGTGGCATGTGGCAGAAAACACAACCAGAGCCTGAAAGTGTAGACAGAGCAAAAAAGTGAAAAGCGAGTATCCCGCCTATGTGAAAGGACACTCAGTAACAAAATGGCAGATCACCTTGTTAGTTGGTAAACCAGCTAAAAATGACATCTTAGTGACAACCGGAATCAGAATCCTGGCCTCAGCTGATAAGGTTATGGCTACAGATGAAGCTTTGAACTGGAACCCATCTCAATAATGGAAGGTGGCTGGCTGATGGGTCTTCTCAAACACCTCGATTGCTAGGTTTCGGCAGTCACATCATTTTCCACTTAAGAACTGATTTTTAAAAAATCAAATTAAAGCAGAGGTAGCATGGTGGTTAAGGCACCGGATCCCACATGGCTGACTCAGCAGTTCAAGTTCAGGACCTAGCAGCTTGAAATACACACCTGATGCATGTGTGTGCGCCCAAAATCCTGAGAGGAGAAGGGAAGAGGAGGGATTGTGATGTGGCCATCCCCCCGGGGATGACATTTTTCTTTCTTTCCTTTTTTTTTTTTTTTTTTCTCTCTCTCTCTGGCAAGGGTAGGCACCTCATGGCAAATCTAAAAATTAAAAAAAAAAAAAAAAGTGAAAGCAGAATCGTGTAAAATTGTGACTCATTGACTTTTAAATGATTTATCAGTCATGCTATCAAAGTCGAGGCAGGAATTGGAATAATTTATATGAACAGAATTTTGGATTTTACTAAGAAAGCAAAACATAGTTCCATCATCCCTTTGGTTGGAAGAGGGAGCCAGTTCATCCTCAGGAAATCCTTTGTCTCTTCACAGAAGCAATTTCCCTTTGAAATAACGACCCACTGGCTTCCAGCTGCGTGGTGGCCCGACACATGAGAAAGTGTCCTTTCCACTCTTGGATTTGTGGATGTTCAGCCCTCTACCTTAAAGTTCTTAGAGCTTTTCCTTCTCCGTGCGGTGTTCAGTGTGTTGTAGAAACCACGAATGCCTATGTGCCAAACTACACTAAATCTATGCAGAAAAGGCATCCTCCCTCACTGGTCTTCATTGTAAAACGTTAAGTGGTACAGGTTGAAATACTTTATCCCGACTGGCTTGGGCACCTACTCCATATGGAATAATGTGTGGACAGGCCCCAAAATACAGGCTGCAGCTGCCCCAAGAAATGTATGACCAGTGGGAATTGATGTTAGAAGTGTCTTCTCTATCAACTGATTTTTCCCTCTGTTTTCTAAAACTTCTGAAAATGGGGTGAAGTAATATTAAGTAAGCTGAACGGGAAAATATGGCACATTAAAGAGAAGCAGGAAGGAGAACAATCGGAAGGATGGTCTCTGAGCTCCACAAGCCAGTGTTTCTGCGGAGGAAAAAAGTCAGGTTTTACAGAATGTCCAGGTGGACACTAGGGGGCGCCAGAATGCTATTATCTTTGGCAGGATTCGGATTTCCCAAGGGGAATTTGGGTTTGAAACTGAATGCAACAGTTCAAGGTGACCAGAAATAACTTCTTTTCCAGTAAAATTATGTGAATACGACTTATGAGGTCCAAAGTTCATGAGAGACTGCTGCTATATCTTCAGTGTGTTCCCTCCAAAATCCTGGTGTTGAAATTGAAAGGCTTAAATAGGATGGGATTAAGACTTGGGTTCTTGGGCCAGCAAGTGGTATGGTAGTTAAGGCAATGGATCCCACATGGTCCATTCCATGAGTTCTAATCCCAGACCCAGTGGCCTGAGAAACATGTCAGGTGTCAGAGTGTTCTTGCCTGAAATCCCAAGAGGAAAATGAAGTAGAAGAGTTTGTGGTGTGGCCATCCCCCCCGTTCTCACGTTCCCTCTCGGTCTCTCTCTCTGGCGAGCACACACACTCTATAGCAAAAAAATCTAAATTAAAAAAAAAAAAAAAAAGACATGGGCCCTTTCCAAGTTTCCTCCTTAGAGAATGGGATTACCACCCTTATAAACTAGGCCTCACAAAGAATTTGGCTTGTTGGTCCTTCCACCACCCACTACGTGGGGACAGAGTTCCTCTATGAGGGGCAGCAGGGTGCCATCATCTGGAAAGCTGGGACCTTCACACTACTAGTACTTTGATCCTCAATTCCCAGCCTCCAGAACTTGGAGAATAAATGTTTTGTCTTCTTAGTTTGCCAGAGAAAATAAAAAAGTGCCCTCCCACCCCCCATGAGTGTTCACACAGCAATCCCTTCTCCACTTCTCCCTCCTCTTGGGACTCTGGCCATGCACACAAGCCCAGCTGGTGCATTTCAAGCCAGTCTGGGACCCACGTGTGGCAGTCAGCCATGTGGGCCTCAGCACCTTAACCGCTACGCCACCTGCTCCCTCCCCCAATGAAATTTATTATATAGATCTTTTTTTTTTAAGTTTATGATACAGGGCACATGTGCCTGTCAGAGAGAGAAAGAGGGGAAAGGGAAAGTGAACGATGACCACGCCACAATCCATTCTCCTCTTGGGATTTTGAGCACGCACACACACTGGGTCTGGGACGCAAACTGTGTGGTCAGTCATGTGGGATCCAGTGCCTTAGCCGCAACATGGGCTGGCCCTATAGATTTTTTTTTTTTTTTTGAGATATTTTTGCTATGGGGCATGTACTCTCACCAGTGAGACTCAGAGACAGAAAGCAAGAAATCACCTCCCGGGGAGATGGCCACGCTGCAATCCCTTCTCCTCCATTATCCTCTTAGGGTTTTGGGCATGCACACGTACATGCCCAGCACGAGTTTCAAACCCCTGTCTCCAAGACTTGAACCACAGCCAGCCATGTGGGAGTCCAGCGATGTAAGCAATACACCATCTGCTGGTCCCTAGATCTCGTTTTTAATCTTCCTTTCTTGACTTTTCCCCATTGAAAAATAAAACCGACAAGATATTCAGTATAATTCATTTTATTCTAGTGCAAAAAACCATTTCCAGGTTTATTTCCAATTTCAGTTTCAAAACAAACTGACTTGAAATTTTAGTCTTTAGTATCTAACAGTGATGATCAATAAAACATGTAAGAATATTAAAAAATGAATGCATTGCTGATAGTACTCCAAATCTGATGCATAAAAGATTTTCTATCTAAAGTATTTTTTTAAAAAGTGCAAACTAAAAATTTGTTCATTTAAAACACTTATGTGGTAAAATAATCTCAATTATGTATATCATAAATAGAATGTAAAAGATAATACATTTCTCCAAATATTCATTTCATTCTGTTCACGTGTGTTTCCTAACATTCATTCCATAGGTCAAAATACAAATGCATGCAAATAAAACAGGCTATTGAAATAAAACTCCAGAACAAAAGTTAGAATTAACTTATGAGGTAAGTTTCATATATTCCAACATCACAGTTGTAAGAGAGGCCTCTTTACAAAGTCATTAAACTGTATAGTTTCATTATTTCAAGAGCCCCAAATCAAATTAAACAAAATCCCATGCTTCCTAGAATATTAAATACCATGCAGCATATACTGAAAGGCAGAATTCCCTTTTGTTTCGCTTTCTATCCTATTAAAAATAAGTTCACTAAAACCATTTAAATTATGCTTTTCATTTGAAATAAACGAATTGCAACAGAAATGTAAATATCTGGAGCTATCTGAAACCATCTATTCCCAAAACAAAGCAGCCAGGCCAAATGTTAAAGGAAAAATCACCCAGAGTGAATGCACACGAGCACCAAGAAGCTGAGCTTCCCAGAGCTAACGCAAACAGCTCGGTGACAGAATCCACGCACCGCCCTTCTGGGGGTGAAAAGGTGCCCACGGAGCTTTCTGTACCACGGAGACTTCCCAGATGTGTCAGAGTGGACCATCAAACTGAAACACTCCGTATTTCCCAGTGGTCAGCCAGTGGGGGTCTGTGGCTGAGAGCTGTTCACCTTGCCCTGGCTGTAGACCAACCTGAATCTCAGCCTTTAGTGTTCTTATGCTACAGAGGGGCGCGGGATGGAAGCCATTCAGGGCCTGATGAAATGGGATGGTAAACTCCCATTTTCTGTCACCTGTCAACTTCCTGTAATTCAAATCGCCCTTGAACAAAATTAAATGTGCCTTCTGTAGCTCAGCATATAAGTCGGGAGCAACCTGAGACATTGCGCTGTATTCGTGAGGCAGAGTCCAAAACACATGATCGTGGTAGACCCACCTACCCATTTCGATGTAGCGCTCCCAGTCCGCCCCACACCTGGACATCCACTTATGGTTACAGTGCTTCACTTGTCTGACTAACCAATTAAAATCGTGGACAGTGGTATCAGACACAAACCATGGAATGGTTTTTCCATAAAAATGGACCTCAGTAGCCAGTTTGGAGGACAACAAGAAATCGGCTAATACCAAATCGGTAACAAGTTCAAACCCAGCATTATCCAGAATAATGTCCACCCTAACAGACGCTTTTTCTCTTGTTCTCTTGCAACTGCTAAGCAATGACCAAAGATGTTCAAAGTCATTCACTAAGATGAAAGGTTTCAGGTCTTCCAGAGAATTGATTATACTCATCTTCTGAGAACTGCTTTCCCCTCCTGATAGAGACAGATCACACTTATTTCCCCACAGTGAAATCTGAAAAAGTACAAAACAGTCACTTTTTTGAGCAACCAACAGAAACTCTATTATGTTAGGGGGAGGATTGCTAAAAACGTTCATAAAATGTATCTCTACCATAAATCTACAAATCTAATCTAATCCAGTCCAGTCCAAGTGTAGATCCGAATCTATACTTTCTCGAGTAACGCAGAGACTGTTCCGCGATGCTAGGTTAATAAGGTAAAACGGTGGCACTTTTAATCAATCAGTATGTAATGGGCTTTACAAAACACTGATTCAAATTATTTTAGCATTCACGCTCTTTTATTCAGAATGGAAGTTTTTGCATATTGCAGATATTAGAACATCAGATGCTGTGAAGAGAAAGGCTGAGTGAACTTTGTAATTCGGAGTCAGCAGAAAAATGTAAGTTCCTCTCAAATTTCTTACACCAAAATAAATTCATACTTTCAGAAAAAGAGAAGTTCCTTTTTGCCTCCCAACATCCCCCCAAACTGCCCAAGTTCTTCTAAGAATTGTATAAACTTAGGCTATGGCAACCTCTCTAGGGTCTCATTTATAACATAAAGAAACTGGACAAGGTGATGTCTAACGAGTCGACCCTTAGCCACGGAGATGTAAAGGCCCATTGTAATCGACGCACTATAGCTCAGCTTCAAATTGAAGTTTTTGTTTTGTGGGAAATTTTGGGTCATCTGAAAAGTCATGACACATTTCACATAGAAAATACGTCATGACTTTTCAGACAACTCAACAGTAGATGATGCTATTTTGTAAAGCTATTATCAGGTTGGCTGCTATACTGTTTTGTTTTGTTTTGTTTTGTTTTTGCCAGATGGCGCATGTGCTCACTGGGGGCTGGCGGGAGAAGGGCACGAAGAAGAGAGAGAGAAGCACTATTTTTTAAACTATAAAATTACACACACAGGACTGCGGGCTTTACATCAGACAGAGTTGGGTTCAAAACCCAGCATCTTCAATAAGTGACCTTTGGCAAATTACCTCTGACCCCTAAAGCTCAAGTTCTGCAACTGAAAAATTAGATGAGGACACTTCACAGTTACCGCGAGAATTAACTGACAACACATGTGTAATGTCCCGAATACCTGACATGTAGAAACACCAGTAAATACTAGCCAAAGTGGGCTCTACCCTCATTTGTGACTTAAAATAAGAAAAACGTGATCCAACCAAGAGTATTCTTTTTAAAAGAAAGAGAAATGAATTTTTTTTTTAAAGGCATAAGGCTTAAATATCAAGTGTTTCCAGCCACACTTCTCCAGTTAGCCGAAGAAACACCCACGACGGGGTTCATAATGGCATGCACCATCTGAGACGGGCTTCCTGCTGGCCCTGCCCACTTCCTTCCACAACTTTTTCTGGTCTGGAAATACGTAAGTAATTTCTGTAATTATGTGATTGTCAATACTCCCTCAGGATGACCGATTCCATGGGCAAGGAGGGACCTGTTTTTCCCATTACCACGTCTTCAGCACCCAGAGCAGTGTTTGACACAGTAGGTCCAGAAATACGTGTGCGGACAGTCACAGTGCTGACTTCTGAAAACAGGTCGACATTCCCAGCAAACTAAAATGCCATCGAGGTTCTCTGAGGACAATGAACCTGTTGTTCACTGAGGCCACTAGGAAAAGCAAACCTGGCTCCTCCACTTGGGAGCGGAGTGGTGGTGTGGGATAGCTGGCCACGTGAGGGTAGATAGCAGAAAACAGATTTTCACAACTTATTATACCTCTGGGACAAAGAACATATTTTTAAAAAAACACTACTCTCTTGAAGAGCTAGCTAGGACTCAAGAGTTGGCATACTAGATTTTTCTTTTTAAATTCCAACCTAAGTATAAAAAATTCCTAAGGGGGGGGTTAAAAACTTGGTTTATTAGTCAACAATACCATGACAAAGTTTCTTCAGAGCCCAAAATAAATAGGCCTTCACTTGTAAGCATTCAGCTGCCTCTGCTTGCCCTTCAAGCCTCACCAGGGCTTTGTCACATACCCACAACCTGCCAGCAGTCTGTAGCCAGAACCTGGTGCCGTGTGCCCTATGCTACCAGCTGGATCCTGCTTCGCTGGGTCAAAGCTTAGCAGACCGCCCGTGTACCTGCAGCCTCCTTACCTGTCTGCCTCCCCACATGCTCCCAGACCCGCTGGCCTTGCCCCGCCCCTCACCACTCAGGCCTTCCCTCAGGTCACCTCCTCAACCTCAGCGGCCCTCTCAACACTCCTGGTGCTGTCTCCAGCTTTGTCTCTTCCTGGCATTTCCTTTTTCTTTTAAGAGAGAGATTTTTGTTATAGGGCGCGTTTGCCCACCAGAGAGACAGAAAGCGAGAATTAACTCCCAGGCTTTGATTCCCTTCTCACCACAATCCCTTCTCCTCTGGAGATTTTGGGCACTAACGCACACGCACCCAAAGTGAGGTTTAAGCCGCCACAGGGTCCATCTTGCACTTTCTAACACTGCTTTCTGGAAATGTTCTTAACATTTATGTGAGGACCAAGGTTACCCCTGTATACTACTATGCGATTTCAAACAGTTCGGGTTCTGATCACTGATTTTAAATTTTAGGATATCTGTATGAGAATTAAAACCTAAACTTGGGACCAGCAGAGAGCCTAATGGTTACATCACTGGATTTCCACATAGTCAACCATGGTTTAAGTCCTGAACTTGGTGACTTAGAACTCACACTGGACACGTGTGTGTGCATGTTCCAAATCCTGAGAGGTGACTGGAGAAGGGATTGCAGTGTGGTCACCTCCCAATGGGGTGATTTCTCACTTTCTGTCCCTCTGTCTCTGTCTCTCTGGTGAGTGCATGTGCCCTATAACAAAAATCTCTCAAAAACAAAAAACTACACTTAATACAAGATAAATGAAGAAATGTAATAAAACCACATGAAAACGCCAAGTGACCACTCAAGAATTATCAGCAGCCACTGCCGGCAACCTCCACGTTCAGGCTCTGTTCTTAGTGCTCGACATATATGAATCTAGTTTCATGTTCATATCAAATTATCATGTAGACATTATCATTGTCATTTAACAAATGAGGAAACTGTAGCCCTGAGGAATTAAGTAACAAGCCTTAGATCTAACCACAAATAAGCAACAGAGCCAATGCTGACACACATGGCAAGCTGGGCTGACCAAATTACTATGGAGTAGTCTCTTAAACATGACAGAAGGTGGGACCAGCAGTTGACGTAATGGCTATGTCGCTGGACTCCCACGTAGTCAACCGCAGTTTGAGTCCCGGACCTGGTGTCCCTAAATTCATGCCAGGCGCATGTGCGTGCGTGCCCAAGATCCCGAGAGGAGAATGGAAGAGAAGGGACTGCGGCGTGGCCATCCCCTCTTGGGGGTGATTTCTCATTTTCTGTCTCTCGTTCTGGCGAGTGCACGTGCCCTATAGCAAAAACCTCTCCAAAAAAAAAGATGACAAAAGGTCGAAGTCATGTGACGCCTGTGTCACTAAAACCATTTCTAGCCCAAGCAAAAGAAGTCAAAACTCATTTTTATAAATTAAGTGGATTTTGGGGCCAGTATGTGATGTGGTAGTTAAGGTGCTGGACTCCCACATGGCCAATCATGGCTCGAGTCCTTCGGCAGCTTGAAAGTCACACCAGGCATGTGTGTGTGTACATGCCAAAGATCTCAGGAGGAGAATGGAGGAGAAGGGATTATAGCACGGCCATCCCTCCTTAGGGGATGAATTCTCTTTCCATCTCACTGACTCTGTCTCTCCGGTGAGCACATGTGCCCTATGGCAAAAATCTTTTTTTTTTTTTTTTTTTTGAGAGAGCTTTTTGCTGTGTATGTGCTCACCAGAGAAACAGAAAGTAAGAAATCACTCCCCAGGACAGATGGTCATGCCACAATCCCTTCTCTCCGATTCTACGCTCAGGATTTTGGGCATTCATGTACATGCACCCAGTGTGAGTTTTAAGTCCCCAGGGTCCAATACTCAAACCACGGTTGACTACATGAGAGTCCAGCGACATTAACCATTACACCATCAGCTGGTCCCAATGGCAAAATTCTTAAAAAAAAAATTAAGTAGATTTTTATCTCCTAAAATTAAAATGATAAAAAATTATTAAAATGAAAAATTATAACTCAAACGACAATATAAGCATGCTTTGTCATTCACCATGTACCAGTTTGTTTGCTTATTAATTTACTTAGAGATTTTTTGCTATAGGGCATGTGTACTTGTCCGAGAGACAGAAAGCAAAAAATCACCCCGACAGGGGATGGCCATGTCCAAATCCCTTCTCCATTCTCCTCTCGAGATTTTGGGTATCAAAATCATGCACCTGGTATGAGGTTTTTTTAAGCCGCCAGGTCTGGGACTGGGACTGGAACCGCGATCGACTATGTGGGAGTCCAGTGACGTAACTATGATGTCATCTGCTGGTCTCACCAGTTTATTTTTTAATTGTTCAAATAAACAAATACACTCAGGAGGTTAACTGTCACATTTACCTGTAGAAATTTAAAGAACTCATTCTTCAGCTGATTTTCATCTAGATCGTCGATGGTTCTCACCAACTCCTGAAGGTGAGTACATAAAGCAATGATAGATTCCTGCGACTCGAAGAAATTCTGTTCTTTTGATTCCTTAAATACATCGAAGTCATTGATTGGTGGACTAAAGCAGGAGAAAAATATAAATGAAACACTTTTATAAGTCTGTACCTTTTCTTTTCTTAAACACTTGAGTAACTGCAGCTTTTTTTAAGGAAAGAGAATAGCACCACCCAGTCTCAATAGTTGGTGGTAACAGACGAGATATAACATAGAAAATCAAGTTGCACAAAAGTAAATCCCACACATTTCAATTAATTGTCAAAATTCCTTGGGACCAGCAGTTAGCGTAATGGCTGCATCGCTGGACTCCCATGTAGTCAACCACAGTTCAAGTCCGGGACCTGGTGGCTTAAACTCACACCGGGCACATGTGCGTGCATGCCCAAGATCCCAAGAGGAGAATGGAGGAGAAGGCATTGTGGCGTGGCCATCCCCCCTGGAGAGTGATTTCTCGCTTTCTGTCTCTGTCTTTCTGGCAAGTGCACGTGCCCTATAGCAAAAATCCTCTCAAAAAAAAAAAAAAAATCCCCAATCAACTATTTTACTAGAATTATTATATAATTATGGTGCTCATGTCCACAATTACTTACCCATCAGGGACTCCAGGGCAAAAGGAGAAAAAGGTCAAAATAATTGTTTTATTACGTCATTGGGGGTCAGGAAAGCCACAATGCATTTTTGCATAGAAAAGCACAGAAAAATGGTCATGACGTTCTCAACTCAATAGCTCCTTGCCTCGCTCACTGTGCCAAGGCTCTAAGTAGCACACGCAGCAATATAAACAGAACGCAGAATACAGGGCAGTTATCACTACAGAGTTAAACGCAGGGTGTTCTGGAAATACTACACATACTTGAGGTAAGCCAGGCTTAACACCTTAGAGTGATGAATTTTGATCATCTATGTACAGATATTTTGGGGCAACTTTTACTCCCAGGTTCATTCATACCAAGGGTAATGTGTGTGCTACAGATACATCTCATGCTGCCCAGTAAGAAATCAAATAATATCGACCTAAGAAAAACACATCTAAGAAGACATGAATATGAACAGTCCTTGTAGAATTCACTATCTGATCTTCTAAATGAGCTACTTTTCCCATGGGCCACACGGTAGGGTAAAACAACGTAAGACTGGTATAAGGGTCGAGATTTTTCAAACAGACATAGCAGCATTTACACATCCCAGTGACAGCTGCCTCCTTCAAGCCAGTCAGTGCCCTTGGGAAGCTACGCCCTTATTCCCAGGAATGTCCCCTTGCTCAAAGCACTCTGAGAATTCCTCTTTTGGAACTTTCGTCAGAACCTGTGGCATACTATTAAATGTCCTGTCAATGATCACATATCCTGATCCTTCAGAGTCAGCTTATTTTGGGGAATAGTCAAAAGTCACTCAGGGTGATTTCAGTAGAATAAGGTGGGCAGTCAAAATTAATTGAGGAGTGACTAAAAAATAATGAGCCTTGGGAGCCAGCAAGTGGCGTGGTGGTTAAGGGCACCAGACTCCCACATAGCCGACCATGGTTCAAGTCCCAGACCTGGCAGCTTGCCTTCTCTCTCTCCCTGGTCAAATTAAAATTAAAAAATGAATAAAGTTAAATAAAATAATTCTTTTAAAAAAAATAATGAACCTAATTTGATTTTGAGCCTTGCAAACTGGCTCTGACAGAAGTCCCGAAGAATTCCAACATGTTTTTTAGCAATGGCAGCATTATCGAAATCGGTTAGTCTCTCAAAGTGACTGAAAAGTATAAAAATCGTTTGGATGCACGGACCCAAGTATGAGGGGGGCTTCAAAAAGTTCATAGCAAATGTATATTATGAGAAAACCATGTACAGGTTTTTTGTTGGTTTTTTTTTTTTGGCACCAAAATATACTCAGATTTTCAAGTTCTACTTTTCCACAAACTTTTTGAGGTCCCTCATATAGGGGCCAGCAAGCTGAATCACAGACCCAGTCTGGTCTACCACCTGTTCTGTGTGACCCATAAGCTTAAAATGATTTTTACATTTTTGAATAGTTAAAAAACAAAGCAAAAGAGGGACCAACAGGCGGCAGTGTGGTTAGGGGGCTGGACTCCCACATGGTGGACCACAATTCAAGTCCCAGACCTGGAGGCTTGCTTTCTCACTTTCTCTTTCTCTCTCTCTGGTGAGCACACCATGCCCTATAACAAATTCAAAATAATAATAAATAAAAATTAAATAAACCTTTAAAAAGAATAGCAGCATTTTATGACATGTGAAATTCAGTTTTCAGTGTCCACAAAGTCTTACTGGAACACTGCATGCTCATTCACATAAACACTTGCGATGCCGCTTTCACACTGCAATGGCAAACTCAAGTGGCTGAAACACGGACCACATGGCCCCCAGAACCTACAATAGTTACTATGTGGCCCTTTACAGAAAAAGCACGCCGACTCATGTTCTAATGTTTCATCAGCAAATGACTCATTAGTTTTAAGTCACACCTCATTTTAAGAATGAGCCTTATTTCTTGCATTAAGTGACTGAATACATATAATTTCTTATTTAAAAACTTCACTATCGGGACCAGCAGTTGGCGTAATGGCTATGTTGCTGGACTCCCATATAGCCAACCGCGGTTCGAGTCCTGGACCCAATGGCTTAAACTCACACCAGGTACGTGTGCACGCGTGCCCAAGATCCCGAGAGAATGGAGGAGAAGGGACTGCGACGTGGCCATCCCTCCCTGGGGGGTAATTTCTCACTTTCTGTCTCTCTCTGTCTTTCTGGCAAGTACACGCACCCTATAGCAAAAACCTCTCAAAACAAACAAACAAACAAACACAAACAAACAAACAAAAAACTTCAGTATTTTAGGATCTGCTCAAGCTGTGTATGTGCATATACTATGACCCTGTGATATTCACTCACTCTCTCTGGCAAGTGCACCCACCTCTGGCAAATTAAATACATGTA